ATACTCTACCTGTGTTCCATATCCTCAATTTAATCTCCCCAGCTCTGGAGCCCACAGTAAGTTCCTCTCAAAGACACTGAAAGACCCAGCAATTTTTCTGTGTTGTCAGGCTGCATTTTATCTTCCTTAGAACAGCACAAGCCATGAAGGCTCATATCAATACATCCACCCAGTTTAGGGAGCACCACCCAGGAGAATCTCCCACTGCAGCAGCAGCAGGAGAGTCTTGAGAAGGTGCAGGGAGGACAACCAAAACCAAGTTGCTGCACTGATCACAGAGTGGTTAAGCTTCTTCCTAAACACCAGCTTCCAAGTAAAAAACTGATAAAAGAAGTAAAAACAAACTACAAGTCTCTTCCTACATGAATATTACTTTCAGGCAGCCCAGAAAAGATTTCTAGAATGTGTGCCTGTTACAAAAAGAACCCAAAACTTACATAATTAAAGGAACATAGGGAGGGGAAGATAAAGTTTAACGCTAATTTCAAAGTCAAGTAAGTGACACCCTGGATTGAATACTATTAACCAAAATTGTACAAGTTAAAAGTGGATGTACTGAAAGCAGCAGAAACCCTGCCCGCAACAAAATGAGAACTCTCTTACAAAAATACCTCTGTGGCCAAATGAAACACTGAGTTTAAATAAGAAAGCAAGCACTTACACCTATCGTGCTCTCCCCCTCTTCCTTCTCATCTAGGGAGTCTCATTTATCTCAAAGCAATCAAAAGAAAACACTTTGATTTTTAAAGTCAGAAAAGCTGCAGAAATTACAGCCCTGTCTGGCACAAAGAAATAATATTTCTGAAATCAAAAGAAGATTCTCCAAGTTAGGGGAAGGGCAAAAACAGTCCTGAATAACTTACTTTGCATAGCCCAGTTCCTGCCAAAACAGTTCTGTAAATCCCATGGTAGTTCAGATAATTTTCATTCTTAGAGCAAAAAAAAATCTAGACTGAACATTAGCAACATTAATTGTGTGATATGACCTGAATGATGCAAGAACAAGTAGTTAAGTGAACCACAGCATCTGCTGAATTTTTAATCACTAGTTGTTTTGCTGCAAGGCAGAAGAACACTATATATCAGCTTCCAAGCACTGCACGGAATGGCACATTAGGACAGCAAGATTTTAACTGGCAGGAATTCTGCCTCCCTGCTACCCAAATGCCATCACTTTGCTGTGAACTGCAGACAGAACAGCTTCTAAAGCAGGATTATTTTTTAATCACACAGAAAAAAAAACAGCACTATTTTCTACACCCCGAGACACCAGTCAGCCATTTCTAAATTTTTCTTTTTAAAGCTGACACTTTATTAACAGCCATTTAGGTGTTCCTCTGCAGTGTACTTCTACTCTCCAAACAGCTTTAAGCAGTCATGTGGCTGTCCAGCAGCAACTTACTACCAAAGAGGTGGTTGAACCTGGGGTGTGTAGGAAGGTGATCTATGTAAACATTCCTATTAGCCGTGTACTGCAACAGGAGGAGAGCTGCAACATGTTGGGGCACACCTGAACTATATTTAATCCATCTCTCCCTGACACCCATTGCAATGACGCTGCAGACACCCAAAATTGGACAGCCAGGTCATCATATCGCTGATGCTCATCCTGTACCTACACCAAACAGTTGTGCTGTGATTTCTCTGTGTTTGATACCCAAATGAGTTAAATAAACCAAGCACCATGCCTACAGCGGTAGATTCAGCTCCAGTTATGCTCTAGGCATAAAACTGCAACAGCAGGATTAGCAAGTGATACAGCAGATATTCCCCTTCCACAACAAAGACAAAAAAAAAGTTATTTGGGGAATAAAACACTAAATCCACAATTACAGTGTGAATTCCAAATACCAATCCCACAATTACAGGCAGAATCTGCACTATGGACAATTATTCTATTTCATATTTTAGGGGGGAAAAAATTACATTTGGGAAAAAAGGACAACATTCCTACATTAAAGAAAGACTGTCACACTGACTTTAATAGACTCTAAGTTTAATAAGTTAAGAGAATCAAAATAGCTTAGAAAACAAAGCCAGTAAAATATGGTACAAATAAAAATGGAGCAGCCACACATACCAAAGCAGCATTCCTGTGCCCTCCTTCCTGCAGAGCTTATAGAGCTGGGAAGAGGATCTCCAACCATAATTTTCACTAAACCAGTATTTCCCTCAAAAGCTCAAATCTATGGATAGGAATATCCAGGGATAAATCCAATGACCAAATAATCCACAAGAGACAAAAAATCCCAGCAGACATGGGCAAGAGATGTTTCCCAGGCTATATTATCTTTCATGATAGGTTTAGGATCAGTCCTGTGTTTTCCTTATAGACTCAACAATCAGGTCCAAGAAAAGCTGCTCTCTTCTCTGAAACCTGCAACAGGAATATTGAAATATCCCCAATTTGCTGGGAATACAACAACCTCTGTGTGAGGATTATACTAAAATGCTGGTTTGGTTATGCTGTAGGGCACCGAGAAGTTAAAATAACACATTGTGATGAACGTGTTGACACCTGGAACTCAGGGAGCGTTACTACCCAGGCAGTGTCGTGCATCCACCACACAGTGCTCACCTTCACATCTGCCAAACCTAACCTGGCACTTCCACACCCCAAAAGCACAGTCCTTCCTTACATGGGAGCTGCAGACCAGTCTGGGAACACTGGGATAAACACCTGCAGCATAAGCATCAAGATGAGCTTCCAAATTTAAGAGACACAGAAAGATGTTTTATAATGTATAAGTCACTCAGCTGCAGCTTAGCACTTAACAAGCTACTCACAATTCTTCACCATCCTTCTCCAAATGGAGAAATGATTTTAAAAATCATTTAGTGCAAGTGAAACATCCCCAGCTTTCTCCTCAGCCTCTGCTCGCTCTCCAATTAAATATGAAAGCGACAACTTAGTCATACTGAGCATACAGGATGATTTTAAGACAGTGGTATTAAATCAAATCCCACAACTTTTCACACCTATTAAATCATTAGGAGGGGAGATTTTGATAAGCACGATGCAATTAACAGACAGTGCCTTTGTTACCAGGCTGCTCCTGATGAAGCCCAGGCTCCTTGACATTCCATTTCTTCCCCTCAAAGGCTCTGTGCTACAGCAAATTTATGGGTTTTTAGCATGTAAGAGGAGAATTGGGCAGGTTACCTTCAAAATCAGTCAATAAGGCCCTTTCACTCAGGCTGGGGAAGGCGGGTGGCTGCTGGAAAGCAACACAAGGCACTCCCTTCCCCCTCCCCTCAGGATCCAAAAATGCTGCGTTCAAAACACTCCCATCCCCTGCAGCAAGGGATTAGCCATTTATTAAAAAGGAATCAAAACACTGTAAAAGGCTTCCAGTTAAGATTTCAAGGGGAAACAAACAAAAAAATACAACCAACATTAACACCAGTAGAACCAGAGTCACATTAGGAATTCTTCTGGGCACCAAAGAACGAGCATCTCAAATGCTAGCAGGATGTAATTTGTCCCGATGATGCTGATCAAATGACTCAAAAGGAGGACAGAATTAGATTAATTATTTAATTTTGGTTTTTTACTCAGTCATTTTGCTGCCTCCAAACTGAACAGTAACAGCATCCACAACCTACAGGCACATTTAGACTTTGGACTTTTAAGACAACTACCTACCTCCACGCTTGTTTTTTAGGGGCTTTTTTGGCTCTTCTCTAGGGGTGACAGACAATTATAATGGCCAATTATGTAAAACCTTTCATCCGAGAAAACACGAAGCACTACGCAAACACTCATTAAGACTCTCGGCTGGAGCCTGCGCCTGCTCCACAGCTCCCCTGGGTATCTCCAGCCACCAAAACTGGATGCCGAGCGCTGTGGCACGGCCAGGACAGCGCCCGGCAGGGCAGTGCAGCCCCAGGAGTACTTACACGGCCTCGCAGGAGGGTTTTACAGCCCGCAACACGCCCCGGGCTGCTGGGGCTGAGCTTTGCAGCCCCATCCAAGCCGGTTATTTAAAAACACAGCAGAGACACACGCGGCTGCTGGGCGTTGTACGAAGCACCTCGCAGGACGAGCCTTAGACCCACTTGTCCGGCTGATCCAAGCAGATTTTTCCAACTGGGAGCCGCATGGCACAAGTCAATAACCTCGGTTTACTGAAGAAATTAAAAGCTACGCTTATTGTTTCGAGTAAGGCCTTGGAGGAAGTAATTCCGAGAAGAAATCACTTCCACTGTAACTGTACTTTTAACCTTTCCTTAGGTTCTTACGCCATCCCCACGTGAAGGCGTTATTCAAGAATTATCACAATACCTAGTAACCATTAAAGCTTTTTTTCGGACCACTGTTTATGTTCAGCGAGTTCACAACCCCTCCCTTCTGAAGGGCGGCTGATCGATGCATGAACCACGGGGGAAACAGTGCAGAAAAAACACGACCAGGAAGCGACCGCAACCGAGGAGATCAAATTTTGGGGGGAAAACAGGCGGTTTGGGAGGGGGGTTGCTTTTAAAAGAGGGTCGGCGAAAAGACTGGCCCGCAGAAAGCAGGGGGGGCTCGGTGTCCCCGGCCACGCGTGGGACAGGCGCGTTACGCAATCCCGGGGAGCGGGGATGCTCCGCACCCCGCACGGTGACCGGGCGGTGCGGGGGACACGGCCCCGCTCCTGAGCTCCCGCTGCCCGACCCGCCGGGCCGGGAGAGCCGCGGCAGCGCTGCCAGCGGCGCCCGGGAGGGAGCACCACAAAACGCCCGGGGAGGCCGGGAGCGGGGCACGGGCGCTGGGGGAGCACCGCGGACAGAATAAAGCCAGATGATAAAATAAAGCCGAGCGGAGCGGGGACAGAGCGCGGTGCCCTCAGCACGGCCCCGTCCTGCGGGAGGCAGCGGCCCCTCGGCGGCCCCGCAGCCGCCATGGCCGGCGGAGCGCGGGCGCTGCGAGCGGGCCCGGCTCGCCGCTCGCCGCCCACCTGCCCGCACCGCGCCGAACCCAGCGCCCACCCACCCCTGCCGCGCCCGCGGGAGCCTACCGGGAGCGGGGCCGGAGGACGGGCCGTGGCGGAGCCGCCAGGCTCGGCTCGGCTCGGCTCGGCTCGGCCGGATCCCCCCTGCGCCCGGCGGCGGCGGGAGGAGCCGGGCGGCCGCGCCAATCCGGGGCGGAACGGGGCGGGACGCGGAGCCGCCCCCGCGCCGCGCCAGGCACCGGCCGCCCCGCCGCACCAGGCACCGGGGGCTCGGCTCGGGGCGCTTCCCGGGCTCCTCGCTCCTTGCAAGGCCCTGTTCGAGGCCAGCGAGTTCCAAGGCAGCCCCCGGCTCTGGCGACCCCGTGGTCCCCCGCTCTCTCTCCCCGGTGAGCCGGGCTTGCAGCTCGCCGACGAGGCTTAGCGACCAACGTGGCACTGGAAGCCACGAGGGTGCCAGTTCCCAGCCCGCTGCGGGGCACCGGCAGCTTATCAGTGAATTTTAGTCTGGTGATAACGAGCTAAAAATCTGTAAGGTCCTCTACAGGAGGCCAAAAAGTCGTTCGATAAATCTCTTGTCTTTGAAACCTACTGAACACCCCACTGCAGAGCCAAAAGAATCACAGAATCAATTAGGTTGGAAATGACCTCTGAGATCATCGAGTCCAACCCATGACCAAACACCACGCTGTCAACCAGATCATGGCACTGAGTGCCACGTCTAGTTTTTCTTTAAACACCTCCAGGGATGGTGACTCCACCATCTCCCTGGGCAGTCCATCCCAAACGAGCTGGAGGGAGGTCACTGAGACTGTCCCTCCCTACTGGAACCCCACCAGCGTGGTGCCAGTCTTGCCAGCTTGTTTTGGCAACGTTTCCTCCTCAGCAAAATCACTAAATACCCTTTGCTGCCATCTGTCCTTGGCAGAGGAAAACGTGAGCTGCTGTTCCTGCTGCAGATGTGTCCATAGCAGTGGTTTGTCATGCAAGTGTCACCCCAGCCATCTTTGCTGTGCAGTGCTCAAGAAGCCTCAGCCTGCAGCGAGAAAGAGAGAAGGGCACTGGAGAAATCCTCTGAAATCAAAGGTATTGAGAACAAGAGAAACAAAAAGGGAAAACATTGGGAAACGAGGAATTAAGTGGTGGCATCAGATGATAGATTGAACCTTGTAGCGTGAGGGTCCTGGGTGGGGAGACAAAGATTCAAGACTCGTGCTCCAGGTGCTCATGAGACAAACAGCCTCGTTTATTATTCAGAACTCACTTAAATACTCAATTCAAATTTCCCGGGCTAGACAGCCATTGGCTGATACTTCTCTTCCTGCCCAGCGTCCTGGCCAGTGGTGGGCAGTGGTTCAGACATAAATTAGGCTAGCTAAATTAGATGTGTGTTATGTCTAGACCCACCCTGTCCAGTCCAGACCAGCTGCACTGTGACACTACAGCAACAGAACCTAAAAAGGTTTCTACAAGAAGGAGCTTCCCCTCTCCTTAAAAGATTTTGGCAAATCGTTTCCACTTGGATGGAAGCAGGCAGCAAACTGAAAAGGCACGGTTTCTTTCCAGCCCAGGGAACAGCAGGAAGCCGTTCTTTCCTGATTCTTCCCCCAGAGGGTGCTGGGCACTGCCCAGGCTCCCTAGGGAATGGGGACAGCCCCGAGGCTGCCAGAGCTCAAGAAGAGTTTGGAACACTCAGGAACAAGGTGGGATTGTTGGGGTGTCTGTGCAGGGCCAGGAGTTGGACTGGATGAACCCTGTGGGTCCTTTTCCACTCAGAATATTCTCTGCCCTACCTCTTGGAAGGCAGCACTACTTACTCTCTGTGTACACTGCTGAGAGGAGATCCTTGAGACTGTTCTCAAGCTAAAAAGCAGTGTAAGCGTGTCAGCACAGCACTGTGCCATGACAGTCCTGACAAGGGGCAGAGCTAATTAGCCAAGGCCCAGGATCACATTTATATGGTGTCTCAAATGGCTGAGACGGACCTCCCAAAGTCTCTTGACTATGGCTGCTATACAAAGCGAGGGTGGGAGGGAAGATAGAGGTAAGTTGAATGGCTGAAGGTCAAATATTAGATCAGGACAGAAAACAGTTCTCACTGTTCTCACCTCTCCAGTACTTTCTCCACTGGACTCTAACAAACCACAGAACAACAACAGGATTTAGCTGCTGCTGACACAGTAGTTTCCTGTGTTCCAGGGAAAAATTCTGTACTTTGGTACAGGACCAAATGCATACGGAAAAAAAACAACTATTTACTAGCATGGCCCCCAAGTTTGGTGACATGCAGGGAGATGCACGATATCCCTAGATCACTTAAAGGGAAATGAAATATGTGCCCTGTTGTATTAGAAAAAGGCCCCACAAAGATACGGCCCCAATCTTCTATTGTAAATTGATAAAGACAGTGAACTGCCATTTGCTGCTAAGTGACTCCTAATGATTAAACAACCTTTCTCCTCCCACCCCCTCGGGGCACTGAGTGATAATATAAGAAAGATTTTGCACATTGTTTAGCTTAAATGGCCATCTGGTCCTTCTGCATTTCAGTAGCCTTGAACATTAAAAAAACAATAGATAAAGAAAACCTCTCCTATCTTATCAGAGACCTGGATAAGTTTAACTCTGTCAGAGCAAAGAGGATTAACCAAGTCCTTACAGTTCCTTCATTGTTCCCATCTTGATTAGCAGTCATATTCCTCACAGCTTTGTGTCATAGTCTCTAAACAAAGAGAAGAAACAGTTCCTTACTGGCTGTATTAATTTTAACCATGAAACACAACTCCAGCAGTTCCATCCAGCTTCCACAGGAGGTGTTCTGCTCCTGGGCACATGGACTCCACTCCTGTGGAGACACAATGGAGGCACATGCCAAAAAAAGATACAGGTTTTCAGCCAAAATTAAAAACAAAACCAAAAAACCCAAAAAACTGGAATTATTGTGCAAGTAGGGAAAAAAATGCTCCTTTCAGAGGAAAATGTAATAGTCTTGACCTAACTCAGAAACCTACTTCCCACTGCTGAAACTTCATCTAATCCCACCCCACTAAGTGGTTTCTTCATCTGCTTTTGCTCAAGGGGATAAAAACACATTTCCACCAAAGCAACCCACTCAAAGTCCCCGGAAACAAAAAAAAAGGTTTGATCTCAACTCAGTTTATGGTTGGTTTACTGTTGAATCCAGCATTTCTTCTGGGTTTAATTCCCATCCTCTTCTTTGCCATGAAAGAAAACTAAGAAGGGTTGAGTCTGTTTGGAAAGAAGTGTGATATCCTTAAGAATGTGGCCTTGGACTTTGAAAAAAGAAGCCAGCTGAGGACGCTTTCACCTCCAATGCTGGAGCAGGTTTGTGAGTGAAATCTGTAGCAGCAGGGAACATTTGGTGTAAACAAGCCATAAATGAGAGAGGATGTACAGATATGCTGAGATAAAACCACTCAAGCTGTGTTCCCAACTGTACTTTGCATCCTGACATTGCTAGTTTGCATTTTTGTGAAAGCTGGGAGCTAATAAATGTGCTACAACATCCAGCTTCTGGGTATCAGCTGCCAGAGTGCAATAGAATCTCCAGAGTCAGGTACCTCATCCTTCTATTTATAGTCCAGAGAGAGAGACACTTCCCAAGGGCAAGTGGAAACTCCCACCTGGGAGCAGAGACCAGGGGGAAGGAAACATCAAACGAGGGCTGTATTAGAATCACTTTGCACAGCCAGTGTAGGTGTTTCCATCAGCTCAGGATCCCAGGCCCAAACTTTGGGGTTTAAGAGTCTGTCAGTTCTCTTTGAAGGATTGGAGCAATAACATTTTCTGTTTAACACCGTGGGTGTCAAGGTTGCATTTGATGTTATTTGTTGTATGTGCTGAACTGGGTGTTGGAAAAATACCCAGGAAAGGGAAGACACTCTGCAGGCTCATCCAGGTGCGAGTCCAAACATCTCTCTCTACCTGTTTGGACCATGCCCTCCTCCCAGGTTACAGGCTGAGACACTGGGGGGTGGCTTCCTCCTATTCCTGGTAATAATGGGCTGCAGAGCAAAATAAACATCACAGAACAGAGCAAGAAGCTTAACTGTGCTTCCCTAGTTGCTCAAAGAGAGGAATTTCACTTCTATTTTCTCTCCTAGAATTTGTTCTGGTCTTTAAATTAGCAACCACTTCAGATGAAAACCTTGAGCAGAAGTGGGAACAGCAGCCAATGCATCATGATGAATTTGTTGTTCAATAGTTGATTGAGAGGTTATCAATTAAATTTGGCAACCTGTTCCCTCTGCAGTGTCTTATTTTGCCTACAGAGGATTTTCTTGGACTGCATGCAAGTGGCTGTGCGGTACAGCTTTGTAACTCCATTTGCCTGTACTTTCACCAAAAACATGATCAGAAAATGTAATTATTTCAGGGATAAATTTGAGGATAGATTTATCTACACACTCCATATTGCTCTTCATTTGTGCAAGGGTGGGGAGAATCACCTTCACAAAGAACGATATTCTGTGTCAAGGAATGAAGAGCAGAAAGAACAAGTTAGAAGATTGCCACATAATGATCTCCTCAGTACAAAACGTGTAGGATAATGACAGTTATATTGCCAAGAAATAAAGAAATTCAAATTGGTTCTAAAAGCTCTATGGCTAAAATGGGATATTATCATAAAGTCATCAGGTGTGTATGAGAACAATGAGTTTAACCTTTCCAGCATGGCTAATATCTGCACAGGATAATGAGCTTAGAAATTCATATCTCTTGTTTATCTCTGTGAAATGGTAATATGTTTATTCCTCTTAACAGAATATTCCTCTTAGCACAATAAAATCAGCAGCAATCAGGGATTTGGCTGGAAAACACCTGATTAGAATGTTTTATCTTCAGTGACATCACAACACTTTAAAATCTTGGCGTTATTCAAACACAGCTTGTGCTGACCTAAATATTGTCAGTGGAAGGTGTCTCTGCAGCACGTTAAGGAAACCCATTCTGGCTGTAACCTACCTGGCTTAGGTAACACCTGAGCAGTGCACAGCAAACCCAGGGCAGCTACTCAGGTTCCTCAAGGGTCCACGGCTGTGTTATCACTCCTATTGTTACTTGAGCTCCTGAGATTAAGCCCAGGCTGTAGCAAAGCTTCCTAAATTCTGTATCAACACCCACGAGAGTG